CGCCGCTGGTTCACCGCCTCTGTCGAGAGGTGGAAGACGATGAACAGTTCTTGCTTGATTTATTTCGCTGGAGAGAGAAAATGAGAGAGATCAAGAGTGAATGGCCGGGAGCGGGAGAGATTTCCGCCGCTGGTTGTCTTCGTTCGAACGGGGAAGAGGAGAAGACTCTCCTTCGAATTCTTCCGATTTCTCTCTGCTTAGGGCGAATGAAGGGGTCGGTCTCTTTTAAATGGTGCCAGGGGTATTTTTGTTAATATTAGGGGCAATTTTGATAATTTTTGTAATCCGGGTCCAGGGGTTAAATCGGGTTTTGGGGTTAATGATGGGTGGTTCCGGGTCAAAAATGGAGGAAATGGGTCTGACCATAGAGAGTGGTTTGTGTGTGTGGGTTAACAGGATTGGCCGAAATGGAATTTTTTTTGATGGAAGGATTAACGAGGGTATTTTTTGGCTAAAATTTTGTAGGGTGGGGTTTTCGGACATTTTGAGTTGATTGGCGGAGTTAGATTGGCCCAACTGGGCCCGGATCGGGTAGATCTAGAAAGGGTTTGCTCCGACTAAAGAGGCAAACAATGTTTGTTTTAGATGAAATTTCACATGGTAGGATTTTTTGGTACTAGGTGATTGGTAAGGTTGGATTGAGCCAACTGAGCCCGGATCGGGCAGATTTGTAATCCAATCAATCTGAAACCTTGAAATGGAATATTGATGCGATTAAAGGGTAAACGGAGGTATTTTGGACTGAGATTTCACAGGTAGGTGTTTTCGGAGGTCCTGGGTCTGGTGATTGTGTCTGATCTAGTGGTTGAGGTGTAAATGGGGGTCGATCAAGGTTAACAGATTAGTATAAAGTATGTTCAACAATGGATATGATGGCTCTTGGGGTAAAATTTGGGTTTCTTGGGTTTTGGGGTGTTTCAGATGGATCATAAGGGTTTTATTAGGGATTTGGGATGAACTAGAAGTTCAGGCGGCGGATCGAGCAAAAATTGGGTGCTAACACCGACCCCTCTTTGTTGTGAGGTAGAAAACTACAAAACTACAAAACAACAAAGACTAAATAGAAGCACACAGAGATTTTTGGGATTGGCATAATTGGAAGAGGAAGAGGGGCAAGACGAGGAGGGAAGATTCAGACGAAAAGGAGTTCCCTTGCAGCATCATTTCATCATGCTTAAGCCATTTTATTATTGGCAAAATGACCTCCCCTAAGTATTCAGAACCTTCGGAGTCAAGGTACATTTGTCGCAAAGGAATACATTAAAAGCCAAGAAAAACACAACATTGAAAGCAACTCAAGAACATAATACTTAAGCTTAAAGTGCAATCATAACATAAAGACATGTATTCTTTAGAATGCATTTCAAAATCATTGGTAAAAAAAATTCGGAAACTTGATAGAGGTCCTATGGTTAATATAGCGTAACTGCTCTTTTGATAGGCGAGAGACATCCTTCCATGTAAGAGTAGTCTACGCTCAAAAACTTCGATGAAACACTCGATAAGTCCAATGATGATGTAGAGTGTTGTGCTTTCAGGTGTGCGATAGATGTCAATGCATAATTAATATGATATCTTAAACTATTATTTTCCTTTGCGCTCCTCGGCGGATGATAGGGAATTTAAACACAATAACAAAAACATCAAAGGTTGTCAGATTGTTGGACATGCTGCCATATGCCTAAAAACGAAGGACCTGTCATCAAGATTCTTGCTGCCAAAGCTTTTTTCTCCTCTTCTTTTTTTTTTGTGTATGTGTGTGTGTTGTATTGCATCTTGATTGACAAAATTGTGTGTTATGTCATGGCTCAAATAGTAACTTGTTGAAAATTAGAAAAACAACAAGATTTATGCTATGTGATGACGTGAAACAATGTTAATTACTTCGCCACAAGGGACTTTAGTGCCATAAAGGAATTTAATGTCGTAATGGACTTTAGTACCACGAGGGACTTAATGCCACAAGGAACTTTGCAAAAGATTTAACTCAGATGAATGACTTTAACAAATGATTTTCAAATCTGATGCGTGATAAGCTGCGATACAATTAGCAAAGGTCATGTTATGCTATGATGCAATTATCCACAAAACTTCGATATACTGCCACGAGGGACTTTGGTGTCATGAAGGACTTTAATACTGTGATGGGCTTTATACCACAAGGGACTTTGAAAATGATTTTATTCAGATGAATGATTTTTAAATTTGATGCGCGATAAGCCGCAATGCAACTAGCAAAGGTCATGTTATGCCATGATATAATTATCCACAAAACTTCAATATTCTGCCATGAAAAACTTTGGTGCTATAAAGGACTTTAATGACGTGACGGGCTTTGGTGCCATAAGGGACTTCGATGCCACAAGGGACTTTTAAATAATTTAACTCAAATGGACAATTTTAACAAATGATTTTCAAATCTAATGCGCAATAAGCTACAATGCAATTAGCAAAGGTCATGCTATACCATGATGCAATTATCTACAAAACTTCGATATTCTGCCATGAAGGACTTTAATGCTGTGACGGGCTTTGGTGCCACAAGTGACTTTGATGTCACAAGAAACTTTGAAACAAATTTAACTCAGATGGACGATTTTAACAAATGATTTCCAAATCCAATGCGCAATAAGTTGCGATGCAATTAGCAAGGTCATGCTATACCATGACGCAATTATCCATAAAACTTTGATATTCTGCCATGGAGGACTTTGGTGCCATGAAGGATTTTAACGCCGTAGCGGACTTTGGTGCCACAAGAGACTTTGAAACAAATTTAACTCAGATGAATGACTTTAACAAATGATTTTCAAATCTAATTCACGATAAGCCACGATGTAATTAGCAGATGACAAATATGGCATGATGTAGTTATCCATAAAACTCCGATATTCTGCCACGAGGGACTTTAGTGCCATGAATAACTTTAGTGTCGTAAAGGACTTTGGTGCCACGAGGAATTTTGATGCTACAAGGGGCTTTGAAATAAATTTGACTCATATAAATGGCTTATGGCTGAAACTCCAATATTCTGCCTCGAGGGACTTTAGTGCCATGAAGATCTTTATTGTCATAATGGATTTTAATGCCACAAGAGACTTTGATGCCCCGAGAGGCTTTGAAATAAATTTAGCTCTTGATCAAACACTGATTTCTATGCCATATGGCAGAAAATGATATGATTATTTGAAAGCTGAATGATTTAAAAAGCATGGTATGATTAACTGAAAAGCACAATTCATCATGTAATGATTAACTTTTAATTTGAGTTTTTAACTAGTCAATCAATTGAGAAAACACAATGCATTTTTCCTTGTAAACAAAATGAGGTATGATTTAAATCCCAATACAATAGAGATGATATGCAAAGTGCCAAATTCAGATGATTCAAAGCAATGAATTGTCAAAGACAGTTGAATTGGAGAATTTTCCAAGCTTGGGTAAGAGACAAAGTAGCCATTTCCGCTTCAGAATGGAACGATCAACACATTTCAAGATTGAAAGACATAAACATTGGAAATGCAATGATTACTGATCAAAGATTCACATCAAGAAACACATATTGGAAAGGGGCTGCCCTAGTTTAGACCAATTAAGAAAAATGATTCGCAAATGAGATAACTGCTCAATTTTGCACAAAGAAGATTATGACTCTTCAGAGTGGGTGTTGATCACAGGTTTTCAAAAGAGGGATGAACATAAATTTGCTCAAACTACCGATTGGTACTCTTGCCGCACTTCAAATGATTAATCACTTCACCTATTCGGTATTCAACTTTTGATGAAGAGATTTTTCTTTGTACTATTTTGGCCCTAGTTTTTAGAGGATCACCAGGCTCGACTCTTTCTCTTCTTTTTGTTTTCTCTTTTTTGTCTCTCTCTTTTTTTTTTTGTTAGACCACTTAGGTCTGTCCAGTGCTAGTTACCAATTTCTCAGGGATCGATGAGGACTTTTGACTAGGATGAAACGTGGCCTAGGACAAGGGTTTTGAAACAAGGGATAAAAGGCTCAAGAAACTTAAACTAAGATGCATATAAGATGTTTGAATCCATATTTCGGGCTTTACTCAAGATTATGCTCCCATTCTCATTTTCTTCAATTAAATACTCTTGCAACCATAAATGAAACAAAGTGCTCTTCATGTCTTTAAATACAATGGGTTATGCACCCCGGGTGATTAAGGAGGGCTTTATTATAGGACAAAATGGAAATGGGTAAGGTTAGAATAAAAATCGAGAACGGATGGCACTACGGAACAGTATCTCATTGGTTTGATCATCACATCTGCCCAGTTTTTTCTTGTTTGCTTCTCTCTTCATTCTTGGTAGCAATCGATTGCCCTAGTTCTTCTTTGATGCCTCACTTTCATTTCTTCTTCTCTTTTTTTTTTATTTTCACTTTTCTCCATAATTTATTCTTCTTATTTCTTTTTTTTCCCAAAAGAACTTGTTGGGACACACAATTAAACATATGACATCCGCCTCACAGGAGGGCTTATTTGAAGGAATGGTTCCAAAAAAGGCTCAAAGGTATAACTAGCGAAATGAATAATAAAGAGGGCTTGACGAAAAGGGATAAGGCAATCAGCCAAAAGAGGGCCTCCCATCATTTTTTCATCAAGTGCATAACCAATAAGGAACAACTACGTGTTGAGCACAATTTGAGTTCCACTAACTCAAGGATATTTTTTTTATTTGACATCCTTACGAATGGAATGTTCTGAGATTACTTGAATGAGAGTGATTCTTTTTTTCTTTCTCTCTCTCTCTCTTAATACTTTTTTTCTAGCCTCTTGGGAATTTGCTCAGTTTACAAATAAGACGATCCAATGGAATTAGCTTAACGGGCTAACTAGTGATATTGTTAATGATCGGGACATGTAAGAAATAGACGGTTGATAAGAGCCTCCAGTCCTTTCCTAGATTCATTGGCAATGCACTAGGTAAATACAATGCCTGTATTCTATGATAGCTTAGGAAATAGATCAA